GTAGAATCATTGTTTCACAGTTTGGAAAATTACAAATTGTAATTATTAACATAATGGAATAGAGGAGTGAGGCAATGATATAAATTATTCTGTATTTAAAATAAAAGTTGTGCAATTCTTTGTACATAGATAGCATCTTTATTAACAAAAGGAACCAATTCTACACACACACACACACGCACACACACACACTCACACACAGACCCAAGACTCAAACCTCAGGTGAAATGAGCAAAAACTCTTTATAGAAACTCTGTGACATACTTTTGCACAGGCATCTCTAAATTAAAACTATAGTTTTATATGGATACCACCTAGTGGTCTAGAAATAAGATATCAACCAAAAGAATTGTATCTAAATTGTAAAAAATAGAAAACACATTCACAGTAAAATCCCTAATCCAAGTTTTCCTACTACACAGATATTTTCCCAACACCAGGAGGAAATAGAGAAAAACTGTTGTCCAGTCTCTGCACTTAGTGGTTCGTTTTACAAATCAGGAGTCATTCCCACACTGTGTTAAAGTAATCCTTGGCAAAGGTAGGTGCAGCCCAGCCTTCCTAAAATTTTTGAAAGCATTTGTAGCTTCCCTGTTGCTGGGACACAGTACCCAATATCTTCTAAAATGAAGAGAGGTTTAATTTGACTCATGATTCCAAGGCATTCAGTCTATCATCAGCTGACTCCAAGACAGACACATCATGGCAGAAAGGGATGGTAAGACAAAGATGCTTAGGTCATGGCAAGAAACCAGATAGAGTACCCAAGGTTGTGCCTCCATGAATCCCAGACACACTCAGAAATATGTTTTACTAATCCTCTCAGTGGCTCTCAAGCCAATCAAAGTGACACAACTAAGTTTAACTACCACATCATTTCCTGAATGAAGGCAACTTTGTGACATTTATTTGAAAACTGCAATCACTCCCATACATCTAATCCCCTTACTCTGCAATTATTTTTCTTGTTTTCCATACCACTCATCTTCAAATAACCTAGAAATTAAGTCATTTATCTATTATTTGTCTTGTCCAATAGAACCCAAGAATCACAAGACCAAGGATCTTGATTTATTTCGTTCACTCACACATCCCATTTGCCTATAACAGTGTCTAATAAAAAGGTAATTCCCCAGGATATGCTGTTTGAAGAAAGGAATGAAAGACAATTTGTAAATGACTTAGATCTAGCGGTACTTATCTTCCATCTTCTGGTTTGAAACTGAAGACAGCAATATAGATGCTTATGTCTCTTGAAAAGGATTGTAAACTCAAAAATGAGTAAAAAACACTCACTCTAGAGGAAAATAGAAAGTACACAGAAAAAGTGAGGAAGAAAATAGCCACATGAGACAAAAAAGAAAGTCAAGTGTAGCTCCTGTCTCCTTAGTGCTGCTAGTGGCAAGCTATCTGTTCTTCCTATTCTATTCGTTGATTCTGTTTCCCCACAAGACAGAGTGTGTTACATTCAGGGAAATCTGTTAACAGCAGCAATTACCATTTTAAAACATATTCATTATTTTTAGATGGTGGAAACAAAGAAAAAGGGATGGTGGCACTTAAAGACAGATATTTTTCTCCAAGTTTTTCTGTAAATGTTGAGAAGAAGCAAGAAATATTAAAATAAATCTGAAAGTCAATAATGTAAACTTCTATTATGAGCATAGTAATATGAATGAATATTTATTATTTATCATTCCCCAATTTTATGGTTTTAAAAACACAATCACATTTTTCTTCTTCCTGCTAAAATGATAAAGATGAGCAAATGTTTCAAATAATATCAAATAAAAATTATCCCTTCTTTACCATGTCCAGTGCAGTACCAGCCACATAGTAAGATTTAGAGTTTGTAGTGGTAATTACTGTGAATTAATTAATAAGGACCAGAAAACTAAATAGACACAGAAAAAGGGAAATGTTGAAATAAGGGCACTGAGATTTAATTGAGAAATTTTTGAAAAGAGGAAGAAAGATGAATCACAAAAGGAGAGAGGTAAGTAAAAGATTATCCGGCAGTTCTTGTTCAAATAGTTCAGAAGACTAAACCCTTCAAACATCGCTCTCCATGTGGAGACAATCCTTGAAGAGGGGATAAGTGAGCAAGAAAATGGAGGTGAGCCTGGTAGATTCTTTCAAAGCCCAAAAGCCAAATTTTATGGAAGAAAAATCATTTGATACAGATGGTCTGGGACTTTTTATTAAGTGCTGATGAGAGCTGTTGCCCTGACAGCTAACAACAGTCAGGCCGTGATTTGTTCAAGGAGCTGCTGCAGTCAAGAAACCAGGAGAGAGGGCGCTCCAACTGAGCAGAGGGGCTGTCAGCCTGCCCTGCAGGACCAATGGCACCCTTAGGACCCTCCTCACTGAGCTGCCTCCCTGGCTATCATTGTGAGGGCTCTAGGGTTTGTAGTCCAAGGTAAAGAGCCAAGTGCTTTGTGTCTACCCTTTCACAAAGATGCTCAGCTCAAAGGGTGGAATTTCCAGTCCCCAAACAATTTTCCATGAGGAACCAAAGAGCCATCAGAGGAGAGGGAGTTACCTACACAGTCACCATGCAATGATCAATTCTTAATAGTTCCTTTAGTCTTCCTGAATTCCTCCTTGATTTATTTAAACTTGTGCAATCATTGTTAAAGGAATGCCAGAAAATAGGGAGAACATTGGAGGTAATGTTTCTTAAACCTCAGATGAGTCTCTCCCTCTCTCTCTCTCTCTCTCTCTTTCTCTCTCTCTCACTGGAGATTGAACCCAGGGCATTACATGTGCTAGGCAAACACTCTGAGCTACATTGCCAGCCTTTTATATTTTGATTTGGGATAAAGTCTTACTAAGTTGCTCAGACTGGCCTTGAACTTGCAACCCTTCTGCTTCAGCTTCCCAAAGTAAGAAGGATTACAGTCCTGTGCCATCAAGACTAGCATTCAAAGAACTATTGTGGCTATTTCTTTTCCTTTGTTTAGAAAAAACCTAACTCTTGCTTATATGTAATTTTTACTGAAAGACCCAATAGTTTATTTTTCTATACTCTCTCAGAAATACATCATGGAAGTGAATAAATCTGAGCTCTGATCTGACCTTTATCTTTACAATATAACAGGAGCACAATAATAATTTATAGGGCTCAGGCCTAAGTGTGACATTTCAATGAGCTGGGTAAATATCATTACCCGAAGCCAGCAGCTAGCATGGATACAGACCTAGAGGTGGGTGGGTGCACACATTTTCTGGAAGAAGATTGTTGATTTGATAGTAGGTATGGTCCTGAAATCGGCAAAGGTTGCACTCATCAGAGTTGTGTTGGTTAACAACAGGCAATAGAATAAAAATAAAACAAAGTAGGAAATGCCAGGAAGAGGCTTCCACTTAACCAAGGAACAAGAAAATTTCTATCCCAAGCTAAATCAGGTTGACCAGGGAAGAGCCCAGATGCATAAATACTTGCACACTTACCCACCCTTCTCTGTGCTATATAGAGAAGGTTAAGGTTATGAATGGATAAGAATCCTCCAGAAAATTGTAGATGAAGAAAGACAGACATTGGGGAAGAAAGATCAAGAAGATGAACAAGATGACTTTGTCCAACAAACATGTAAACATGGAAGATATCTGGCATCTCACTCTACACTGGGAAGGCAAAGGTGCCTGTGGCCAAAAGTAAAACTCTTCCTTGTCCAGAGAGTCAGATTCCTACCTTCTCAAATTCCCACTGATAACTTGAGTCTGGCATTTCTAGATAATGGTATTGCTCTGGGACTCTGTGAGTGGCCGGAACTGGGTGTTTTTTGACCCTCCCCTCTCTGAAGAACAAAGCCTCTAGACTGGTAAGAAAACAGCAAGCAGCCTGGATCATGGCTGACACTCATCAGATTCATTTCATGCAGAAGAAAGTGTGGAAACTTTTGAGCTTGCTGAAAATACTTAACAGCTATATAATGTATTTTTTTTTCCAATGTTTGACTATTTTATTGATTCACAAGATCCACAGCTACACACCCACACTCCCCACTTCTTGTCAGTTGATCACAATTCTCCCTGTATCACATCAAAATGACTTACAGAAGGCAAATTCTCAAAGAAATCAAAACTCTGTCTAAGAAGAATGCTAAACAACAACAACAACAGCCCACAATGACATGCTCTGATAGAATTTGGCACTTTGATAAGGAAATTGCTCTCCCAGGGATGAAAGCCATCTTCATGCTGCAAAAACACCCTGGGTTCAGAGTTCCAGAGATTTTCTCCTTTCAGCTAACTCTGGCTCCCAACCACAGTTTTAAAATCATGCTTGGGTGATTTCAGAATTATTTGACAAAGTTCTCCTTTGGATTGGAAGAAAAAGTTTGGTTTTGTGTTTTGTGAAATACATTCATATGCTTGTCTTGCCCATAACCAACAGATTAAATACACACACATATCACTTGCCAAGAGTTCCAGCTGTTTACATTTTCACCCAAACATGTGAATAAAAACCGCAGGCAAAACAAGTACTGTCTCTCATATCTTTTATGGATTAACAAATAGCCCTTACCCTGCTGATGCCCGCTCTTAATTGGACTATGCTGTGAGGAGCAATTAAGCCTAAATGGCCACTTGCTGAGAGCTGGTGAAAGAAATGCTGCTGCTAGAGGCATTTGCATTCTCCAAATAGAGCGCATATGCTTTGCTTTGGTGCCCATAAAGAAAGGAGGTTGACTCTGTGTGTGTGTGTGTGTGTGTGTGTGTGTTTAAAAGTGAAAAGGAGCCATTGTTTCATGCGCTCAGTGGAAATGATTCAAGGAAAATTTTTAGAGGTTATATAATTTCTGCAACTTTTGTGCAAATAAGAGATGTAGCAATAAAAGAGCTTTGTTCCTCAGTAAAGAGTCAGCAAGTGTGAGAGAAAGGCCTCTTCCTTCCCTCCCAACCATTGCGTCTCCATCCTGTGTGCAAATGACAGATCAGTACTGGCAAAATGAAGCAGAAAATGAGACAATTCCCTAGACACAAACAGACCTCACCTGAATATCATGTGACTGGGGTAGAGAAGGAATATTCAGAGGCATTATCTTGGTATGTGTTTTCACTCTGGAAGATAAAGGAGAACAAGAAAAAAGAGGTTAAAATAAGACTGACTTCTTTCCACACAGAAAGGTCATTACTAGCAACTTCAAGATATTCTTCAATCACACGGACACACATATTTTTGGGTTTGATTACCCAGATTTGTATCATTTTTTATTTGTATGGACAAGGAAACAGAGCAGTTAGAATTTTCTCCTGAGCTGTGCAGGATCTATTTAAAAGGTTTTGTTGCTTTTCTTAAAGGAAAGAACAAATCCATTGCTTTTATAAACATTATCTTCATTATTAAAAATTAAACTTTAAGAGATCAGGGAGAAAAAATAATGAATGGGGGAGATAACTCCAAATTCGACCATTTACAAAGATCCATCATTTATGATTTTCTGAACATCATTCAAAGATCTCTGTATGTACATACATGGGAGAGAGAGAGAGAGAGAGAGAGAGAGAGAGAGAGAGAGAGTCTGAAGTCATTGTTAAATCAGGTCTCATACATGTTTGCAGCTGAATCTTTGCACTGGGCTACAGACATGCCGTCCAGGATGGCTCTGGTGTGGACAAAATGAGTTTCCAGAAGCACCATATTGTTGACCTCTGCTGATCTTCTGTACAATAAACCCCTTCTCCTACACTACCCAGAGACTGAGCCAGTACCCAGTCCCTCTCTTATAGAACAGCTTAGCTTTTGCCAGCACCAATCATAATTCCTGGCTCATAAGTGATAATTACCAACCACCTCACCCCCAGCTTGCAATTCAAACACAATAAATACACCTGCCATTTTGTAAAGCCTCTGAGCACATTTTTAAGACTACTCAAATCTCCATTTTCCCAGATTGCAATCCTAATTAACTCCAAATAAATGCAATTTTCTTTGTTCTTGACTAGGTTGATTTTATTCTTGGTCGAGATATTTTCATATTTAAAACATGGCTCTTTGTTGGCAAGGTGGGAAGGGGATTCTGTGCTGTATATATTGCAGGTATTGGCAGTAAAACTTTTCCCTTTGCCCACTTACATTCAAATAGAATGGGGCACCAGGAATGTCGCTCAGTGGTGCCACGCCTGCCTCACAAGCACAAGGTCCTGAGTTCAATCCCCCATACTGGGAAGAAAAAAAAAAAAGGAAAAAAGTAGTAAAATGGGAGGGAGCTTGAAAATCAAGTGACAATTATAGATTAACGGGGGAAATTTTTAAGTATATTCACATATTCATGGGTACTTGATAACAAGAAACAGTTTATATACACACCAATCTAACAAATGTCAGGGTGAAGTTGGGCTTCCAAGAATATTTATCAGACTTTTTGATACAAGGTTGTCTTCTCATAAGCAAGAAACTCCCTTGGAGAAGGGTCAGTGGAAGATATATCTTAGGAGACTCTACTTAAATTTAAATTTTTCTTAAGGTTTTACTCAAGTAGTGTTTCTGCAGCTGCTGATTGTTCCCATCTTTTCAGTTTAAGGTACTTTCCAAATCACTTTGGGGGATTATTGTATTAGTCAGCTCTCCTGTTGCGGGACATCATGCCACAACACCTACAATTTAAAGGAAGAGAAGTTTAATTTGGCTCACATTTGAGGGAGATTCAGTCCACAAGTGGCTGGCTCTAAGGCAAATCATTATGGCAGAAGGCTATGGTAAAACAAAGCTGCTTAGTTCATGGCTTTGAAGCACAGCAAGGGAATAGTGCCAGGGAGTAAATGGCAAGGACCCAGACATAGACCCTAGCCCATACCTCTATGACTTAGACAGACCCACAAGTGGGCTCCACCAATTCCCCAGAGGAATCCCAAAGACAATCAAACTGACATGATCAAGCTTACCTGGCAAAGCTATTAATCCCTTTGTAGGATTTTTAGTTGTGTCTCTAGCCCCTATTCACTAGACACCAGTAGAAATCTCTCTTCCTTCCATGTGACAATAAAAATATCTCCAGACATTTTGTCTCCAGATATAGCCAAATTTTCCCTGGGCAAGGTGGGATAAAATTGCCTCTAGTTAAGAACAACTACTCTAAGGTTTAAAAAATAGAATTAAAGGAGGAAAAAGCACACTAACAGATTAAAATCATAATGTTTAACCACATAATTTAATTTTTAATAACTGTCTGTTGACGTCTTGTAAGATGTAAGATATAAGATGCTGCCAGAGTCTAACTGAGATTCTACCCTGGGATTGAAATTCTTCCCTGAGTCAAACTGAGATTCTGCCCTAGGTCTAAATGCACTGAGATAAAGAGATCTGGAAAAGATAGCCAGGCAGACCATGCAGGTGGTGGTGGAACAACACATACTCCAGATATTTAAGTGAAATGATGCATGAGTTTCCTAGGGTTTCCTGGGAGAAAGATATATAATTTCTCTTCAGTCTTCCTAAGGTCATAATTGTGACATAACTCCTTGTATCAGTCAGTGTTTACTAGAGAAACAGATTTAATGCAAGATGTATGAATATGTAAGAATTTACAAGATTGGCTTACAATGGCTGCCCGCAGAGTCAGATGTGGAAGAGTCTGAAAAGTCTGTCTGCACACTGGAGACACAAAGCATCCAGTGGAAGGCCTGGAGCTCAATGTAGTGTCTTATGAAAGTCTGTATCAGGAGGCTGAAGGGTCTGAGATGGAAGGCAGAAGAGTGTATGGTGAAAGGCACTTTCTGGTCTCTCACAGTGTTAAGTGTGTATAAGGTAACTAGATTGAGCCACCTCGGTAGTACTCTAAGGAACGTTGCCACGCAAGAGAATCACAGCAGCAAGAATACTCCAGAAAGATACAATACAGAATACGCCTTTGGAGTAGACCACCAGAAGAAAGGACCAAGCTGGAATCGGAATAGACATTGCCAGAGCAACACTTGCTTGAAGGACAACATCCTTCATTTTCATCACCTACTAAAAGTCCCACCTCTGAACACATGAGACCTTTGAGGAAAATTTTAGACCTAAACCATGAAATTCCTGTATCGTGTATTGCCTAAGCATTTGCCTTATTGAGATTGTATGCTCCCTTTACACTTGAACTTGCATGGTTAATAAGTTATTTAGCAATGCTTTGTTTCCCTCAGAATTTTGTTGGCATTCCTTCACCATCTTTTTGGCACTGAGCATTGCTATGAAGAAATCTAAAGTTGGCCAAACCTTATTTGTGCTTTAATTTCCTCCCTTCATGCCCATATAAATCTTTCTTCATCTCATATTCAGCAACATTTTCAGGATATGTCTTGGTGTTGATTATGTTCTGCCAATCTTTACTAAATCCTGCTGTTACTCTTTAGTGCACTGATTCAGGTTTTTATTGCAAGGAATTGTTGTCCTTTATATTATTGAAACCATTTCTATTCCATCTGTTCCATTCTTTTTCTCAGAAATGTCAATGAGTTTATGTTGGATCTCCTTTGTTTTTCTTCCATATCCAGTACTTTGTCTATAATCTTTTATGTATTTGTTTTTTCCATTTCATTTTGGATGGTGCAGACAAACCTGCTACTATATACACAACTGTGTTATCAGTCATATTTATGCTCTCTATATGTTTTCCTATTCCATTTCTCTAAGTTCCTTCCCTATCTTATTCTATTACCTTTTCATTTTTCTCTGTACCTTTCTATTTCTTCTGTAAATATTTTTTGACTAAAATTTTCATTATGAATAACCTTTTAAAGACTTTATGGAAAAATTTCTCTGTATCCTTTCTCTGGTTCTGCAGAAAATTATTTTTGTGGTATGTTTTACATCTGTCTTTTTAAAATTGTTTCTTTCTTCCACATTCTACTCAACTGTTATTATTATAAATTGTTATTATTATTTGGCAGTCTATCCATAGAGGTCCATTATGATTATCAGTCATCTTTGAATGGCTTGCTGAGTTCATTATTTAAAAATAGTACATCATTTTGCTGAAAAACCAGGTTGAGTCACATTCTTGCATTAAATCTGTATTTTCTGTGCCTTTAAGAATTTTTCTTCCTCAGTTTTAGGCCCATAGAAATTTCTGCTCGACATTATTCTTCTTTACCTCACTCTGAGATTTTCCTTCAACCTGAGGCTTAGAGAATTCACTGAAGGTTTTTTTTAAAGAGAATACTGAGAGCTAAGGGAGAATAATCTAGGGGTAAGGTATAGAGTATAGAAGAAGAATGAAAACAGTGAGATTGGGTTTTGGTGGTTTGTTTTTTGTTTCTCTCTCTCTCTCCCTCTCTCTCTCTCTTTTTCAGCACTGGGAATTGAACCCAAGGCCTTGCATTGAGCTATAACCCCAGCACTTTTTACTTAGAGACAGTCCTCTCAAAGTTGCCCAGCCTGGCCTCAAACTTGCCATCCTCCTGCCTCAGCTACCCAAGTAGCTGATTACAGGCATGTGCCATCATGCCTGGCTGAGAACAATTACTTTAATTGTTGATCCCTTCCCATCCTTAAAGTTCTCTGAGACACATAATGAATTCTCATCCAAAGTTTTAGACTCTCTTTTTTGGGAGCAAAGCAGTGTGAAATGAGTCATGTTGATATGTATATGCACATACATATCTGTCTGCAGATAGTGCAGCTTAACCACTGCATCTGAGACCATAGTAATGAACCAGTGTTCCTGATGCAGGCTTAGAGGACAACACAATTAGACCTGTCTGAAGATGACAGTATATGCAGCTTGTTGCTTCATATTGGCTATTGTAGTTCAAAGCACCCCCCAGACTCCCTCTCTGCCTTTTACCTCTCACTTTCTTCAACTTCTAAGGAATTGGATGGATAGGCTAGAAATGCACTTCAGAAAAATTGTGAGGAAAGCAGAGGAGAGAAGATTATATGCATTGCATGCACATGGTGGTCAGTTTCCACTTCTCAATGCATTAGAATGGAAAAGGGAGGTTTTAACTTCCTTTTTACAAGTGAAACATTTGACTGATTGAATAACATTTCCCATCCAACATTCAAAATTTCCTAGAAGAAAAACTGGATAAGGATAAAGATCATCATGTTCAACACTTAAATTTATCAATAATGAGCA